AGCCAGCTCAACCGTCTTCAGTGTAGTTTTCTCGCCTACTTTAATGTCCAATTAAAGTAGATAAAATTCAATTAGAGTCACAAATTAGAGTTACTAAGGCTGACTGTAATCGGATCCACAGTTTATGAAGTGAATGCATCATGTCACATCAGTAAGACTTGAAACTAGCAATGGGACATAAATTCTTCATAAACTGTTGAATTGGGTTATATATCACTTTACAGAAATAACTTTTTTCCATGTAAATTTTACACAGATGTCATTTTGAATGTCTGCTGGCCTTAAGATATGAGGAAAGTTAAAGTTACTCCAGCTGTGGAGTCAATTTTCAGATGTCAGGCGTCAGTTACCTTTTATCTTTTTTTAAGACACTGTTTGAGAGAAATATTCATCATGTGTTTATTTCGATAGCAGAAACATATTTTACTGGTTGATTCTAAACAACAGGGCAGCTTCCGTATACTCTGTATAATGTGTTTAAATATGATTGAGCTTCTTTTAATAGTAGAAAGGGATGTCATTCATGCAGAAGTCAGGTTGCAGGCTCTCAAAGGTGCAGTCAGATGTGTCCATGGCACAGCGACCGCAGTGGCAATTCAAAGCCACAGGGTAGGTGACGATCGGGTCTACACCAGGTGGGCAGTCGGGAAGCTCAAATGTTTTATAGTACAGGTCCCGGTATGTGCACACATGCTGGTACACATTGCTGAATGGTATCTTGATGACAGGGTCCTAAAGGGAGGGGAAATGAAAACAGTGTCCTTACAAAAATGTTGTTATAACACTACAGAAGCAACTGTTTTTAAACAAGAAATTCACCTAAAATGTTAAATGAAGTTTCAAAGTCCTGGTTTTAGGCATAAAGTCTTACTGTTAAACTGTTGTGCATCACAGTGAGGGAAAGTTGGTGCTTTCAATGAACCATGTGCCAACACAGTGCAGGGGAGCTACCTAAACGCTACTCCCACAGAGGTTGATTATCTTGTTAATAGTGTTACATCTTCGGTGCGTTCAAGTCTGCATACTGTGCTCCTCAAATTTAGAACTAATGGACTCCCTGGTATAACTCACAAATGTACACCATAAAGTCGTAAAATGTACTTTTGGTTCTGAGGGATTTTTAAAAGTAGAAAGGGAGGCAGAGCCTTCAGCTTTCGGGGCCCTCTTCTGTGCAACCAGAGTCAGACACACTCTCTACTTTTAAGGCTTAAACCTTTTGGGTTTTTTCTTTTCATAAAGCATATAGTTGGGCTGGATCAGGTGACTGAATCCTTCCTTAGTTACACTACAATAGGTCTAGCCTGCCAGAGGCTTCCCATGATGTGGTTTTATTGGATTTATTTTCTTATGCTCCACTCTGCTTTTAATCATTATTTATTATTACTCTTTGGCTCTTTTCCACAGTGTGTCTTTTTTCCTGTCTTCCTCCCCTCACCCCAAACCAGTCACAGCAGATCGCTGTCCCTCCCTGAGCCTGGAACTCCTGGAGTTTTATTCTTGTTAAAAGGGAGTTCTTTCTCCCCACTGTCACTAAGTGCTTGCTCTAAGGGGGGGTCATCTAATTGGTGGAATTTTGTCTGTATTATTATTGGGGTTTTTGCCTTATTATATAAAGCACCTTGGGGTGACTGTTGCTGTGATTTGTTGCTATATAAATTAAATAGAATTGAAATTTAATATATTCCTTTACTTTTGCTGAGAAACCAGAAAGTTTTTAGTATCTGTGACACAGATACAGGTGAAATACACTGACTTTCTTCCCAGTTTAGTCACTTACATGTTTATAATAAAGGTCTGGAGTCACATGACAAATATACTAGACACACAGCTTGACTTTACTGCAAACAGCAGCTGGCAGCATGTTTGTGACTTCAGGAGTACTTAAACTTAACCTTCCTGATTTCACCACAATAAAATCCACAGACACATCAATTGAAATTGAAAATAGCTTGAAGCGGCAGCTAACACATTCTTAATAGCACGTATTTTTTTAAACCACAGATTATGCAGTTATACAGGTATTAGTTTTTGCTGACTGATAAGCTTTAGAGGCACCATGACTGACTTGCTCAGAATATTTTCCCAATTTGTATACACATGAAGTGGAAGTTTTGCATAATGTGTATCAGTGCAGTGGACTGTAACACCAGTCAGTATAGGTGGTGTCTGTAACCAGCAGCTGAAAATGTAGAAAAAAGAAAAGAGTCTGATATTAATATGTGGTAACACTTGTAAGTACCCTGTACTTTCTGGGGTGCACGTTATGTTATGGAGTGACTACGGTGCAAGTACCCTACACTTGCAATTTGTAGGCAAGTGCGGGGTACTTACAGTGTACATGTTTCATTGTTTCTTGCAAAAACCTGACTTGTTGCCTTCAAGATGCACATAAGTACAGAACACTTGTGCCTTATTTGCAGGTCGGGGTATAAAGTGTTACCTCATATGTTTTTGTAAAGAATCAAATAAGCCCTGATTGTATTATTTTTTGGTTTTGGGCCTCCAAATGATTTGTTTTTATCTCCTGATTTTTGCAGCTTTGAAATTCTTTTTGGTTTATATTTCTCTCCTTTACACTCATGAACCACATTACCTTGGTGATGCAGTGTCCACTGCAGATGGTTGTCTCCACTGGATGACAGCTGGGACAGCCCTCCTTCTCCAGAGACACTGTCTGGTTGATGAGCTGACAGGGCGGCAGCTGGAAGGCCGCTGATGGTGGAATAAGTTTTTATTTGGTTCCAAAAATAAAAGCCTAAAACTTGTTACAGATTTTGGTGTTTGTGATGTTTGTGGTAATACAGGATGTCATGTAGCTTTTAAATTTGTTTTTATGTACAAAACTGGAACAACACAACTGGAACACAACCATTAATTCTATATTTTTGTTTGTTTGTTTTCTATTATTATACATTTCCTTTATAAAAGCCTTGCACACATATAAATATATATTATCAGCATTTTTAATATAAGAATGAGAGAATCCTCCGCCTTTTTCACAATATTTCCAATAACATCTTAGATCAATATAAGCTTCCTACAATAATCATACAGTTCTCTTACCTGCAGGAGATAAGATGAAAGTTGAAGCTCCAACAAACAAACTTAACATCAGTGCAAGGAGCATTCTGCTAATCTGTGCCATCATTCTGTAGGCGTCAAGTTGCATTAGTTAGTCACTTAGTTAATTATTCCTTAAGACTTTTCAGCTAGCAAACATAATGATGGGGGCATTGTACAAAATAATTTTTAGATTATATTGGGTGTAATTCTAGTTTCAGTGAGAAAATTAAAAGGTATTGTCCCCTTTTTGTGTTCATGTTTCAGATTAAATAAAGAATAAGCCTTTAATTGGGTGTTACACCACTATCCCTGGTGTAAATCGGTGTCACTAACATATCTATGCATAAGTAAAACTTAAAATATATGCACATAAATCATTAATAACTCATCTAATATCTATTAATTAGGTCAGCATATACTGCAAAAACACCAGCTTTTCTATTAACAATTTCAATTTCTTGAGCTCCATATTTATAATACTGGAGCTGGAATACAGAATAAAGATATGTAAATATCTATATAGCCCTCCACATTTAAACAGCATTCATATAAATCATCTGTCTGCTAGTAAGAGCAGCATGTCTTACCTCTCCGGTGGCTGCAGGCAGTGTCTGGAGGTAAGCTGCCCAGCTTTATAAAGGACACAGGAGTCAAGTATCTAGTACCAAACAAACTCGTATAGGATATCAGTGTTAATCCCTACTACCTGTTTTTATTAGAAGGATAAAACATTTAAACCTTTTTTTTTTACTCACAAGCTGGCAGAAATATAATTTTAAGAGGAAAAATTATTTTTAAAACCTTTTTTGACACAGAAGCACCAAAAATGTAAATGGTTTTCACCCAGTTCTAAACATGCAGTCTTCGCTTTAACCATTAAAAATAAAAGTCGGTTCAGAGAATGCTTAAAAATCTGTTCAAATAACTTTTATAATATATTTGACACAAACTTTAAACAATGTTTTACACTGTTTATTAGTCTACACCTCTTCTTTCTAGTCACTCCCCCTGTTATAGGTACAGTGCTCAAGTCTTTAATCTTCCTCTTTCATTTTTGTGATATTCAATCAGACTCCTAAAGTGAGGTAATAATAATAATTACCAACAAAACAGGATGACTGCTAATCTGTTGCGGATGTAGTGAAATAACCTTGTTTTTAAATGGGGGATCATTGTGACATGCAGGCTTCCTGTTTGATGTTGTTTAATGGAAACGTTTACCCTGTCACATAATTCCCGTCAGGATTAATGTTTGTGATAGGTTAGGATGACACAGCAGTGTGACTTCAGTTTCCTTTTCATTTAACTAATTAACCATTTATTTACTGTATCCATTTTCTATAACACATAAAACAAGGCAGCGCAGTCTGTATTTAGAACATATTGTCTTCAACCAGTTTACTTGAGTTTTTTTCCTTAAAGCAAATAGGCACATCTACAAGCTGAAAAGTGATTGCAAATGTCAATGTCCTCTGTTTATTTATTTATTTTTAGGTCTTATATCTCTGCTTATATTGGCAAATGTAGTAAACACTACTGCAATCATTTTTTGTCAGTCAGTTTCATATATCTTTCATTTATCATGGAAAACAAATTCAAAAAATTGGCAAAGAGGGTAACAGAAATTGTAATAAATAAATAAATAAATAAATAAATAAATAAATAAATAAATAAATAAAACAAATAACATCACAGTTCTATAAGCATATTTTAAGTGACCGAAAAGGCCTGGGTTGATTACAATGTAGGCACAATAATGAAGAGTCATAAAGATACTTGCTAAACATGTCATTACTGACTTTTTATATCGAACCCCTTTATAAATCCTGTTCACTACTAAGTAGCGATATTAGACGTGAAAAACACAGAAAAACAACAGGAAATCATTTTTTTGCAGACGCCGGAACCACACATCTTTAGTACGTTTGAGTCGGCGACTCATAGGGAACGGACCATTCGACAGGTACGACGCATGCGTACAGAGGCAATGTTGTTACGAAAGTGATTATATGTTTTTAATATAAATTGAACTTGCACGTTGAAGAAGGACACAAATACGGCGGCTATATGGCAGGAGAAGATAGGGAGACTCAGACAAAGGTGAGAACTCGAAGGGACTCGATGGAATCGCGGCGGAAACGCATTGGTGTTTGCAGAAGGTCAATATCAGCCGATTTGATTTAGCTTATTTAATTTGAACTGTAGGAGAAAATGAGGAAAATATAAGTTAACAACGAGCTCAATTCGAGTAATGACAACAGGCCGAACGTTTAAATTAAGCAGCAGTTAAAGAGGACAGCTGGATGATACATAACCTTCGTGAGACAAGACGCTTCAGACAAGACCCGATTTGGAAATTTGGTGCTTAAAGATTAACTTTAAGTAGCAGACATGAAACCAGCATCCCTGTTAGTGAGGCAACGATTTTCTTAAACAGTATGGCAATCCGAAAACTTCGGCTTACGGATTATTGACCCTATTATTCAATATTTCTGTAAAACGCCTGTCTGTGTTCACAACAACACATTTAAATGAATAAAAAACAATGGACTGTGAGTGGTGTGACTGTGAGTACTGGAAAACATTAACGTGCAATAAACTGTAAAGATATTCTTTTTGGCATCATTGGATTTCTATCCAGTGTGGGGAAAATGTTGTAGGTGCCCGTTGGTCACCATGAACATCTGATTATTTCCTAACTGACAAACACAGTGTTCACACAACATTGTAAAGCATTTATAGACAAAGATGGAATTCGTTTTTGGAAGAAATTAAGATCAATGTGTATGTCTTTACTGTCTGTTCTTCAGGGTCTGAGGCTGCTGGGGATCCTGGATGTCCAGAACACTCCTTGTGCCAGGGAGGCCATCCTGCATGGAGCTGGAGGCTCAGTAGCTGCTGGGCTGCTTTATTTTCTGGCTACTAGTGAGTCTTGAGTCTGAAATGTCTCTGAATTTACTGCTTGATTGTTTTTATTACTGTCACTCAAATGTTAAAGTACAGTTACTTTTGGATGCTCCCTTGCCACAAGAGGTCGCTACAGCAGGTAACTGTAGTCAACAGGGTTTATAAAGGGGATATGCACAAAATAAAGAAAGGATGTGTTTTGTAATTATTTTTATGACGCTGCATTACTGTATCTACATTATAATCAATACAGTACTTTAAAAAAAACTTTTTGATAACAATGTGACTTTATCTGGATAAAAACAGAAAATCTAATAATCACTTTGCCAAAATCTGATCGCAGCTTCCACCTTGTGAGAGGGATGCTGTTTGCGACTCAAAATGACTTTATATGTTTCACGAGTAATCTATTTGGCAAACATATCACAGATTATAGGCCAACAAGTCACTTAGAACAGTTTAAATACAGGCAATCATTTTTTTGGCAAATAACGTAAATCACCTTTTGGCACAACATGCAGTACCCTTCCTGACGCAGCATCAGAGGGGACGTGTGTCACGGTTCGCATGTGGAGTAATTTACTATAATTTTCTTGTACAGTTCATCATGCAAAGCCAAAACCTCTTGATGTATCCAAACCTTAGTACACATTTTATGGTAGTCCCTTTAAACAGAAATGCAAGTAAACAAAAGTTATTCCAGTTCGTCTTATAGTTATCTGACTCATTTTCCTCAGGTCGGGTGAAGAGGTCTTTTGATGTGGGATTTGCGGGTTTTATGGTCACCACACTCGGGTCCTGGTAGGTCTTAAGGACACAATTTTTCTTCAGTGCCTTTCACGTTTTAGTCAGAATAAACATTTCTGTTTTTGGCTCCTTCTCGCCTGTCTAGCTTGTTTACTACTTTGTTGTGTAACTGGAATGCTCCTGTTTCTTCCCACTGTTAAGGTTTTATTGCAGGATGAACAATGCTAAGCTCCGTGTGCAGCAGAGGCTGATACAGGAAGGCATCAAAAACAAGGTTGCGTATGAAGGAACTGTTATGGACCCCACAAAAAAAGGCAAAGCAGAAGCACCTTCAGGCCCCTCGTGACCTCTAGCTCTTTTCCTCTCGGAGGACAAAAGAGAATGCAGCTAGGCTAAACAGACCTAACAGCGTTTCTCTGAATTGATGGACAACATTATTAGAAACATTTCATGGATGTTTTTCTGTGTTGGATTGTTAAGGAGCTCCTTCTCTGTTATTGAAATTCCTTCATAATCTGAAAGCGCCAAAGCAAGTTAGTTTCATTTTCCAGTCCCTGACATGATGAGTTTGACTCATTTTCACTGTATCCTAATGCTAAACTAATAAAAGAAGTACTGATTTTGTTTTATTTGTTTTAAAATGATGATCAGGTTAAGTTATTACTGAGGTTTTCTACACATCAGCCTCTACATAATGTAAAATGGAAACTGCTAGTGTGAATCTGTTGTTTTATGTTATTAAAGCAACAAAATCAAAAGGTGTATCAGAAATGAAGGAAAATCAGGATGTACTGGAGTCTTTTCAGTGGTGTTTATCTGAATGTGCTGAATGAAGCGTCTGTGGGAGAAAGTACAGAGCAGCAGGATTTGTGACTCAGTCTTTAAATCCACTGTAACCCTGAAGGTTTGATTATTTAATATAACAGTTACATGCTTTTGAAATTAAGATTAAAATTAAAAATCAAAACAAAGGCCTCATATAGAAATTGTAATTGATCTTTTTTTATTATAAACTTTTCTGTGATTCAACTATTAATAAAATTACTGTGAGCCTTAAATTTAGGTTTAGCTTACATTTTGAGTCTGTTACCAGGGCAACAGTTTGTGATCCTAGCTTACTGGCAGGTTTTCTTTATTAAACAGAACTTCTCTCTGACTCCTCTTCTGCAGCTGCAACTGAACCAGCTGACCGAGGCTCTTTTTCATTTCTGCAGTCACAAAGTTGCCATTTTGATATTAATTTGTTACTTTTGTTTGTTTAGTTTGCATCAGGCTGTCAGCCTCTTACTGTAGTGATCACATATGTATGAAATTTCAAACATATACGATCTACGAACAAGGTCTTCTCAAGTTACAGCTGAATTCAACTCAAGAATCACATGAAAAATTTGGTTGACTCCTGCTTTATTTATAGAGGTAAATTGAGTGCAGATAAATGCTGACTGAGTGGAGAATGCTGATTACGATGACTCATTTTCCCTTGTGTATTATTTATTTGTTTCTATGGGGCTCATGGTCCACACTCAAACACATTTATTTGCCCTTTACAGCTGAATTAAAACTGAGGTTCTGCAAGCTGATCAGTTTTTCTGGAAATTCAGTTTCTCATTTCTAGTCAGGATTTTTTAAACCTGCTCTCTGGAATATAGCCCCAGATCCTAGCTGGATAAATGTGTTTGCTACATGTTCAAGTGGTTTTATATTCTTGGCACACTGTTGTAAAATGTTGGCTAGCAAGTGTCTATCTGTCCTTCCTGTTTGTAGTACTGCAGGCCATTGTAGGTCCATTCTAATATCAAAACGGCCTCTTTAAAAAATATTTAGTATGTTTTACGAAACATATTACACTATTTCAAATGCTTTTGGTGCCAGAAAATGTTAGTATGCCCTCCTGTATGAAATCAGCTTGCTTTTTGTCCTTAGTGAGTTCCTGGTACCAGCTACAGGACATGCAACAGGAGTGTAAAAGTAGTTTTATATCTCAGCTGCCTTAAAAAGGAAAAACTCTAAAATGAAATCTAAAACATTGTGCAGAAGAAGTAAGATATGCAAGGCTACATCAAACAGATCAGATTAAGAAGGGAATCATTGTTCAGTCCAGGTTCCTGTTCAGCTCCTGTATATTTTACTCTGATGCACAATGTACAAAGAATTTCTGCTCACATTCTTCATTTACATTTTTTCTCCTGCATAGTCACATAAAGTAAAAACCTTTATCAGGTTGTGTAGCTAATACTAATCTAATGAACATGAAATTCCATTTATTGTTATTTAGCGCATGTGAAAAGTTTTGTTTTAGGTTTTCTATCAGATCAGTTTTAGAAAGAGAAAAATCATTATTTACCACTTTAGCAGGTTAATAATTTGTTCTGTCTGATCACTTTTGACCATTTATAGCCCTGAGCCTTAGAACTTCAAAGAAAAAGACAAAAACAACAACAACAAAAAGAACATTTAGAAAAACAAAGCAGAAAATATGGCAGCATTTTAAACAAACAAAAATAAAAACAACAGCTACCATTTTAGGAATTACAGTATTTAATTAAAAAAAACGGAATAATTTGAGGGTTTTTTGGTTTGTTTTTGTTGCGTTTCCTGTTTTTTGGTCTGTTTTGCCCTTGTGAGTCATATATTTGATATAAAACAAACAACTCTTTAAGGCAAATAATCCTCCTGGGTAAAAATAAAATCTAAGCTCCTCCCTTTAGAAATAAAAAATAGTGCGACACAAACATACAGAAATAAAGTTTACATACAGGCTGTTAAATTATACTGATATCAGTTTTTAATGCAAATCTTCTCATCCTGCTGTGTCACAGACACGAACACCAACAGAGGAGGCTGAGCACATCCACGCCTCATTCAAAGCAGCTTTCTGAGCTCTGTTGAGATCATGAGGCTCAGCACAGCAGCAATAAACAGCTTTGTAAAAGTTCCATGACACGTAGTTTCACAAGAAGACTGAATTCACACACCAGACATGTTACTCAGACACATGGTGTCTGACATTTTAAGACGGAACTAACATATTTGAACAGTTTTTGAATTTAATCTGGAAAAAAGGCTGGGATCACACCTGAAGTGGTTTTGACGCATGGCAGTAAACACGACATACACCACAGGTAGGACATGAAGAAAGTTATTAAAAATGATAAAAATACAGTCTGTCCTTTCTCTGAATTCAGGATTGCAATGGATGTTTTTAGGATGCACCATTTAGTTCCATTATAATCTAGACCTCAAAAACCGGGTAACTCTCACTCAGACGTTCTGGATGGACAAGCAGCACTGCAGGGAAGCAGAAAATTATGTAAATGTGGGGATGAATTGTCTCTTAAACGATCTCTAAACTTAACTCGCTTCTCTGCTGCTGTCATGTTGGTATGTTCCGTCAGTTTGATGACAAATATATATTTATTTAGAAAAAAAAATAACCGTGTTAACAAAAAAACATTTTTTTTCTTAAAAGGAAATGTGCTTATATTGAAATAGAGTTCAAAGGTCTCATATTGAATTAAATGGGAGCTCAGTGCATAGTTTAGACAGAATCGTGGATAGCTAAGCACTGTTATTCGTCTATATTGAGGTTTGTGTTTAAGGGCTCACATGTACATATCGGATGTGTTTATCTGGCACATTAAAAATGATTTTGTCCTTGTGTTTTTGCATACTGCAGTAGGTGGTCACTACAGCCTGCTGCCTTCACAGCATCACCTCTTTGATCATCTAAACAGCTGAACACATAAAGAGCTACTGTGCAGCCTCTTATGGCTGACAACAACACGGTGACAATAGCTGTCCCTGACCTCGTCATTTCCACTGTTAGTGCCACTAATAACACCGCCACCAATGTCCACTTAGCCAAAGTGATGAATTGGCTGACCTTCAGCCTTGGGCTGCCCGCCATTGGACTCGCTCTTTACATCCTCAAGAATCTCTCCAAAGGTTTGTCTTCTCTGTGTTTAAATATGTCTTGTGATTAGAGTACAGCCTTTCAGAGCTAAAGATGCAGAGGTTTGAGTTAGGCATTTTGGCTAAAGCTGGGACAAAGTTGGCACTAGCAGTGTGTGCAGCACAGTATATGTTTTTTGTTTTGTTTCATTCTTGGGATTTTATCACTGTGCATCACTTTAACCCCCACTTCTAACTGCTTGTCACCACTGAACACCTTTTTCAAGTGTGGCTAATGGAAACCAAAGAAAATAGCCCCTTCGATCTAACATGAATTGTCTTTGATTACTTTTACCTCAAAAACTGGGCAGATAACAGCTTCTGGGCACCTCCTGCGCATCCTGCTGGACACTAGGAGGCAGTCAAATTTCATGTAAAAGTAAAATTTCATGTCTTGCTTTCAGCAGTTGTAGACAATACAAATTTGTTTCTTCACCCTGAATATATAGCCACTATTATAAATCTACTGAGCCACTAAACAGGTAAACCAAAGACAGTGGAGACGATTGTATCATATCATCAAAGAGGGATAAGGAGGCTGACATTTGTCTTCAGGAATGCAGCGTATGCTCCCAACAGGTTGATATCACAGCTAATGTGATGGCAGCAGCAGAATACACTGATCTAAATGGGACTGCTTACTGATGGCACCAAAAAGACCTGAAACAAAATTCAACACAGACACATGGAGATAAACTCTGGGTCTCTGGCATCATAACAGCCTGGCTGATAACCTTCAGGAATACTTCTTGTACCAGAAACCTTCAAACTGTTAGGTGTAGAACACATGCCTCACAGAATGTAAAAAGAAATGGGAAGAAAAGCAACAAGCCACTGAACCACAGCAAAGGAATCATAGGCACAGATAAGTAGTGGCTCTTAACACACTTTAAACAAATAGCCCAAATTACTGGTGACTGTGGTCTACGACATGCACATTCAGTGGAGAAGGGGTGATTAAATGCTGCCTCCTAAAAGTAAAAGACTTTCAGACAGGTTGTTAAAGCACAAATACGATGAATGTGATATTTTGCGCTGTGCCGCATACATTTAGAGAGGAAGCGTTAAACCTTGTTTAAGCCTGCTGACGGCTAACTGTTATCAGATGTCCACAGGCAAAGTTTTGTTTAAGCTACTCAGCCTGTGCATCTGTTTCAAATAACTATGTATTTTTTTCATTGGGATGAATTTGATAAACTATTTGAAGATCATCTGAAATTACTCAGAAATCTGATTGTGACCCACACCCAGTTTCACACCTTGGCTCAGGCAATTAGAGGATCATCAGGGGGTCCTTTTGTCCCTCTGTGGGGGGACACTCCCACTAGGTTTAAATCTGGGACTCTCCACCATTTGACCTTAGAACTGAAGAAGCTTCTCGGATGAGAGGTGAAACGTCTTCAAGCAACTTAAAGAAGTCCAGACGCTTTTCTTTGCAAGCTCCTTTGACTACGATGACCTGGATGACTGAGAACCTTCACAGACATACTCAGAAGTCTATGCTTATAACAGCAAACATCAATCTTCTTTTCCCTTCATTCCCCAATGACCTTGGCCACGTCTCATAAGTAATCTGCAGCTATACAGTAAAATACAAGAAAGTAATGTGAACCCTTATGAACAAAAATATCGAGTATCTGTGGGATGTGCTGGACAAACAGTCGCCAACTGCTAGTGATCAGGGACTTCTGCGCTTCTGAATAAATATCTTCAGCACTTCTGTTGGATCAGCAAATAATGGATAAGCACCTGTTTCTAACAACATGTCATCATCTTGATAGGTTTTAGTATTTCCTGAGTACAAGTGAAGTATTTAATAGCAATAGCTCAGCAATTCATTTAATTTCTGTGTTTGTTTTCCAGATGGGAATAAAGTTCCCATGCACGTCATCTTCCTCCTGGTTTCTGACATCATCAGTTTCTTCGGACGTCCTGATGTGAGTCAGAAAGTGGACAGCGGGTCCACGTTCTCTGCTAATCCCACCGACTTCATCTTATATTTTGGTGTTGTCTCCAATATCACCCTCATGCTGTTCATAGCTCAGGAGCGCCATCTCCAGGTGGCCTACCCACAATGCCTTGCCTGCTGCACCAGTATCAGGAGGCATCCCGTAGTGGCCTTGGTAGCATGGGCTGCCCCATTCGCCATCCTGGCTCTCGCTGTGCTACAGTACAACCTCTGGTTCGCTGTGGCTCTCCTTGCTCCTTTCCCCTTTCTCCTCTTCTTTGCTGTGGACTCATGGAGGGCTCTGAATTGCTCCAGATCTAATCCTTCATCACCAGAGAGGAGAAGGACAGTGGTGGGTATCGGTGCAATCTGGGCCAACTACACTGTCCTCTATGTCCCTTTCATCCTCAACCTCCTTCTTGAAGCTCTGTCCTTGACAGAGGTGGTGAGCTATCTGGGGCTAGTGTCTCACTTGCTGCTCTACCTCAGCCCTCTGGTGGACCCTTTCATCTATATATTCATGAATAAGGGTCCCAAAGAGGTGCTGCAGGCACTGCCCTGCTGCCAAAGGTGTAGTCAGAAAGAAAACACGACACCCACAGTGAACACTGTGTCTGAGACAGTAGAAACAAGACTTTGAAGAGGAAATACAGGAAATACACAAATCTGGCATGGGACAGTTCATAAGTCTGTCAGATTTCTGGAAGAGATTTTTAGTCTGAGGCATTTTACACAGGAAGGATTCTGTTACTCTAAACTTGTAAAACTATAAACTACTGTAAACACATAAGACTGCAGTTATGTGCGGGCAAGGAGAAGAGAAATCTGATAGCAATTAGCTTTGGCAAGACCACACAAGTAGTGTCAATGAAAAGTGTCAGGTTGAATATAATTGGATGTTACAGGTCAGCTGGTAACAAGGTGGTTGATGAGATGGTAAACAGAATAAGAGGCTCCATTCCAACACTGAAATAATGCATATAGAGAAATCTGGCTCTCAAATCCTTCCTCAGCCATACGAGCACATATGCTTCATATGCACAATCAAAATAAGGGTCACTGGATTAGCCATTGTCCATTATAACTGCAAAGCTACTAACACGGTCTACTCATCTATTTCAGCTTATCATAACGTCTCTCTCTATATCTGAAATGCTTTGTATTTGTTTGTATTAACACTTGCTTTCTTTCATTGTCAATTTCTTTTTATAAGTTAGCGTTCCTTTTTAAGTATATTTACAATTGTAGGAAATTGTTACCAGTGCTGGAAAATCAACTTTTCTTGCAGGAATGTGCACACACACACACACCTGCATCTAAAGGGCAGCCTAAAAAGCGAGCTGATGGCTGTTCCCTTCAGGATCTTGCTGGATACATTTATTTTTGCTGTGTTCTCATATTTTAGTTAATGCAAAGCTCAGTATTGCTGGATAATTGTAAAAAGTACAAGTTGAAGTGTAATGAATTGTCTGTGTTTACACTGAGCAGTAAGGTCACTTTTGATCACCTGACAGGTTGTTCTAATATTAGAACTGCCTCACATACATTAAAAATAACACGGTGAAGCTCTTCCATACATCTTGCATACGTTTTGTTTTTTTTTTTTTAAAAAAACTGTGAAAATGTAAATTCCTGCTGATTTGTACAGTTTTTAAGATCTCACAATACTTCTTGCTTCATGTACTTTATTAAACCTATAAATTTTATTGTACTTAGATTTGAATGCAGTTACACATCTATATTTTTCTCGTTTTCCTTTTTTCATTTTGTTTTTCTTTTTTTTTTTCAATTGTGTAAATATCAGTGGGGAACTGTCTCGGTATTTAAAGAAAAAGGTCCACATATAAAGTCTAATACAGTGCATCATCTTTTAGATCAAATAAAATTGTAACTGAACATTGGTCAGTGCAATTTTTTAATGTTATAAAAAATGACATTTATTCTTTCTTTTTTTACATTTTTGGTCAAAATCTCTTTTGATTTTGAATTCATTCTTCGTTAACCTAATTGTGACTTAACTTCTAGGAAAATAAGCGAGGATTCCTTGGATACATCTTTCTTTCTGAAATTAAAAAGAATGGAAAAAAATAAATACAGACCAACATAATATTTAAAATAAGTTAAATAAAACATCAGTAGCTCAACAAAAGGCTTAAAAGTCTTTAAAAAAATCACACAGCTTATATTTTAAATAACTTCATATATATTATATATATATATATATTATATATATTATATTATATATATATTATATATATATATATATTTTTTTTTTTTTTTTTTTTTTTTTTTTTTTTTTTTTTTTTCAGCTTTAGCATTAATTTAATATATGTATTGTATTATGTCACCAACCTTGGATTTTCTATGTCATCAATTGTCTCAGGCAGCTTCACATTCAGTGTTTCTGGAAGAAGCAGAGCCACTAGGCCAGAAATAATGGCTAAAGAGCAGAGGATGATCTGAGGAAGAAGAGTCCACACATTCTCCAGCAGCAGGATGAGTGGAGCAATTGATACTCCCAGACGACTCACGAAACTAGTATAGCCCAAACCATTCTGCCTGATAAGACAGAAAATAAGTCAGAGGAAGTGAAACCTCTGTAACCCTGCTGAAGGCAGACGAGTTTATAGACCTTAGGTGATCTTTACTCAAATAATAATTAACATCCAATGCCGGAATAATGCATAATAATCCTACCAAATAAAAAATAACTGGCATGGGTCAAGGGATTGGAAGTAAGTGAATCACTGACCTGGTCACGGTAGGGTAAAGCTCAGTGGTGTAGAGGAAGATGGTTGTAAATGAAGCTTCTGAAAGGCCTTTTCCAAGTATGGCAACAATGGCACGCACGTGCCACAGATCTAAAGAAAAAAAAAGGAAATAAATAAATAATCATTTACATTTAGTTACTGTGAAACAAAAGGGAAAACTGATCACTGCAGTATAAGCTGCAGTATTTATTCTACAGCAGTGGTCTGGTAATCTAAGGATATAACATCTGTAAATAAAAGTGTAGCATGGTTTTAAAGTCTTACCAAAAAAGTGCCCTAAAAACCTGCATTCTTTCTAATGGCCAGCAGAAGGCTTTTGTGAAAAAGAAATCAAGTAGTGATTTCTTCTATTAAATATGTATTTAATTTGCTTGTAAGTTATTACTTGACTAAAAACTTAAGTGATGACTAAACAGTCTCAGTCACAAAAATCTTTAAAAAAGTCTAATTTACAGTAAAAAAAAAAAGATAGTAATACTTAAGGTAATGGCTACATTGTGATTGACAGGTACCATTAAATACAATTTCGATGCCAAAACTAGCATACAAATTAATATCATAGTAAGGCAAGGCAAGGCAAATTTATTTGTATAGCACAATTCAACAACAAGGTGATTCAAAGTGCTTTACAGAGACATTAGAAACAAAAACAAATAAAAAGTATGATTTAAAATTGATTAAAACAAGCAAACTAACTAACTAACTAACTAAACACACACATTTCACACCTGTTCGCGCGATCTGAACCCTTATCGTAAGGGGAGCTACCAGTCCTTCTGTGGACGAGCTACTTTCTATTTTAAATTCCCTGAATTTAAAATACTCTCTAGAGCCAGTCTAGACCCAGCTGGGGAGCTACCCAGAGCTCTAACCCACTTAACAAACAAACAAAACAGTATATAAAATCAAAACAGATAAAATCAGAACAGTAGATAAAATCAGTAGTTAATGTAAGTTTTGAAATTTAAGCTTAACTAATTAACAAACAAACAAAACAGCATATAAAATCAAAACAGATAAAATCAGAAATAGATAAGATCAGTAGTTAATGTAAGTTTTGAAATTTAAGCTTAAAAGTGTGGATTTGGTGCTTTATTTAAATGCAGCTGAGAATAGGTGAGTCTTCAACCTGGATTTAAATAAACTGAGTGTAGTAAATGAACAATGTATGCTGGGAAAAAAACAGGCTAGCAGAAACTAGCAAGCTTAGTTAGCCGGGTCCTGTATGTGTGGAGTTTACATGTTCTCCCTCCCGCTGTGTGGATTCTCTTTGTGTACTCAGGGCAAATCCCAGAGCTTAAAGACAAGCATTTCAGATTAATTAGTGACTCTAAATTGGCCATAGATGTGAGTGTAAGTCAAAGGTTATCATTCTTCGTGTGTTAGCCCTATGATAGACTGGTGACCTGTCCAAGGTCTACCCCCCTTCTCCCAAATATGACAACAGGGATACGCTCCAGCCCTGCGATGACCCTAAACTGGATGTGTTTTCAAAAAACAGAATGGATGGATGGCTGGATGGACAAATAGATGGATGTATATCTTCACAAAATGCCAACAGGCAAAACTCCCAACTCAAGCCTTCAAATCAGTGATCCACAAACGACTGGCTGTAAAAACTGCATACACAAGAAAAACTGCATTCTTCCTCTTCCTGTAAAAGAGAGCACATTAAAATCTCACGGTATGATTTTATTGTGCTCTCTTTTACAGTGACCCTGTTTGGGTGAATGAATGCACCTGAAGTGAGAAGTTATTGGTTTCACAAAGATACCTCTGCTAATAAAATGAGTGCACTTTAGTTTTCACAGTATTACAAATAAACAAACCAGCCTGCAGTCTGTGCGGTTACAAAACTTCTGGAAAACAGGTAACAAAAAGCTCTCAGTGACCTTTGGGAATAAAGATGTTTATCCCGATGCAGATCCCTGTCAGTAGCAACGTGCCTGATTGGCATTTCCTTCGTCCAATGATGTTGAGAAAACAATAAATTGTGAGCTTGGCAGGAACTTCAATGGCTCCATAGATAAAGTGTGTGAGGTACATATTCAAACCAAACCCAGTGATGTTCAAGCTGATTCCATAGTATGTTGAGGCGACTCCATACCTGCAGAATATAAAAAAGTATTTATAAAACCTACACCATTCAAAATACTATTGAAAAGAGATTTCTGATTAATTCAAAATCTCAGAGTAGTAGATAGAGGTAGTTTATGATTTATATAATTGTTGTTGGTATTGTTTTCATGCTGATACACACCAAACAATTCCAAGTAAAAAAGTTAACCATCTCATTCTCGGTGTTTTGACTAGGTGGAAGTACGTATAGTTTTTTGCCTGGTTTTCCTGGACTTCTATGTTGGAAAGAGTCTGTAGACAAACAGAAATAATAAGCAGTTAAACATGGATATTGATTTCTGGGCTAAATCGAAATTTTTATTGTTTTTTTTGTTGCTATTTTAATATGTTGGTTCGAAACAGGTCTCTCTTGTAAATGACACACAGAGTCTCAATGTTTTGTCCTTCAGAATGCTGAGGCACAAAACTCATATTGTATGCGTTGAAGAAGGTGATGAAACAGGAGGAATGACTGCAGTTTTAAGCGGTCTTTCAAGAAAAGTTCATTCACAAAGTGTGGACTAAGGCTGATGTCACTGTTTCAAGAGCCACAATCCACATCAAACCACCCCTGAACCAGAGACAAAGTCAGAAACATGTAACTTAGGCTAAGGAGAAAAAAGAACTGAATCGTTGCTCATTGATAAAAAGTCCATTGAACATCAAAGTTAAAGAGTGTGGATGAAGAGTGCACAGTATCCAAAGTGTGTGAAGTCCAATGTGAAGTTTCTGCTGTCTGTGATGATTATACAACTGTCTACCAAGAGATTTCAGAGTATTTCTTTAGTCTGCTCACAAGCTTTGTACAGATCCTGAATCTCTTTTCCAGTAGGAGCTGGCGCCTTCTCACAGTGCAAAACTTTTTGCTTGATTAACCCATGCAACTTAACTTATGTACTTAAGTAGAATTGTCAGGTATCTGTACTTTACTTGAGCAGTTTTTTTCTGACAACTTTTTACTTTTACTCCCTACGTTTTTAAACGATTATCTTTACTTTCGACTCATTTTCTTACATTTTCAAAATGGGCTTGTTAGTTTTGGTTTGACGTATTTGAGGGAAGTTATAAACGAAGCCCAGCCTTACCTCTAGTTTTTCTCTGGAAAGTTTTTGTCTTCTGTTGATGTTTGCACATTTGTCAAGATAAAACTGGGCCCTTTCCACTTTACCATTTGCTAAAAGCCAGCGAGCAGATTCAGGAATCCACCTACAATTATAATCATACAAAATAATTAACCATTAATTACAACGATTATAAGTCAGATGTGGGAAATACACTTCCAAAAAATGTCATGAATTAATGTTGTTATGAATAAAAAAACATCTGTTTTGTTCCCCTGCTGTTGTACTTCACTTACCACCAGGTTAGAACTGCGAATCCTAACGGGGCTGTAACTGTCATGGTCAACGTCCGCCAGTCAGTGAGAAGAAAGGCCATCCCAGCCAGCAGCATGTAACCTACAGACCAGGCCAGGCTGCCAATCACCCCAATAGTTGACCTATGACTTATGTCAGCCCACTCAATGGCTGAAAGGTATGAAAAGTACCAAAATGAATGATTATTAGTTTATTGTTAATTATGAATTTTAAACCTACAACAACTGATTTTAGGGGCGCAACATGTGATGTGTTAACATTTTTTGAAGGCAAAAAAGTCATTTACTGAGAACTATTGAGATGATGCTGATTCCTGTCAGTGAAAATCCAGTGAAAAATCTCAGCACTGCAAACAGTATGTAGGAGTTTGCAAATGCGCTGGAGAAGCCGAACACGATCGACAAAATGTAAGAGACCAGAAGCATGGTTTTTCTCCCATACCTGGAAACAGCACAGGAAGTACATTTTCCCATAACAACCTACAAAGTACAGTCATGTTTTTTAAGTGTGGTTTTGACCAAATAATTATCACAACTATTATTCCTTGTGCACAATAAATTGAACAATGGAAAAACAAATGCATATCCAGCATAAAGTGAACTGCCTTACTTATCACAGAAGAATCCAAAAGCTAGGGCTCCGATCATAACTCCAATGAAGAATATTGTGTTTGTGGTTTTTGTCAGGCTCTTTTTATCACAGACAAGGTTCCACTGGGAAAGAAACCCACAGAGGAAAGCATCATTTAATTTGATCCATTTAGGTACTAGTTTCTTCTATTCAGGCCAATGTAAGGGTCAATATTTTTTTAAATAAAATTTGAATTTCATGACAGTCAATTTATGTCACACACATCTGTGCATGTTTTTTGTTTTTTGCAATATTAGTATATAGTCGTACACTATTTTTACTGTACCTCTGTGGCCAGCGTGGAAATGAAGGTGGAATTGTCATAAACCCATCCACTCTGACACCAAACTGTGGGCAGGTCAGTGCGGTTGGAGTTGTTGGATAAAAGCTGAAACTGAGGCTCTGCGAACATCTCACAGGATTTCGGCTCCCCATCTTCTCGTACAGGAAGGCTGACAGTCAGTTTCTGCTCCTGAGTTAAATTTCTGAAGAGTTCTTCTGAAGACTTCTCCAGCGTGCTAATGTCACAGTGGTGAGGGGGCACAGCAGCAATGAAGTTATTTAGTAAGAAGTGACAGGGGAGAACCATCCGCGAGGTGCACAGCAGGATGAGGATGGCGATTTGGAAACGCCCAAACCCATCGATTTCCTCGAGGATGGTCTCAAACTTCATCTTTGCTCTGCTTATGACTCCAAAAGTAAGAGGTTTAGAGTTAGTTTAAAATGTCAGAAATTTAAAGATGTGAACATGTATCAATACAAAGACTGAGATTACTCACCTGCATAAAAAGCTGCATAGGGTGCATGCACTCGAGCTGCAATGTCCTCTTCTGAGTTCTCTGCCCCCTTTTATATGATAGGGTTGGATTTAAGCTGTTCAGAAATTTGCCTGGCAAACTGACTTGATCATTAACTTCAGGGTGACTTTTGAACATCATTACATTGCGAAATATGTCAAAGTCCAAGTTGGTACTCCAAGTTACACATTGGAGAAGCTAGTACAAATGTCAAATGCCCCTTAACGCTCCTGCTACATGAATGTAAGGACAATAAAATTAAAATAATGCAAACCGCAAAACCAAGCAAACAAATGATCTCCATAAAAAGCTTGTGACATTTCCCTTCATAAAAATCAGTAAGCAAAAGTGACTCTGGGAAAGGACAAAATGTTCTTACTCTGATCTCCGTGTCTCGGGGTCTCTGTGTGGGTACCTTCTACAAAGTTCACAGTTCAATAGAATGCAGATTTTAAGACAAATGCCTCAAACAAGCTAGGCTGGTTAGTAACCCATCCACTGATAACCCTCAGCCACATTTTAACTTACAAGTGTTAGTCCTTCTTCCAGGAACAATTGAGCTTCAGACACGCCGCACTCTGCATACGTTTAGGACAGAAATTATGTAATGTTCGAGGGTCACTAGTCAGCAAATATGACAATTAAAATAACTGATTGGATAGCACTTCTAAGATATTAATTCTCTCACAGTTTACACCTGTGTACATTATTAAATTAAGATTTAGTCATGAACTGTTTTACTTCACATCTGTTTCTAATGTATTGATGTAAAGTAAAGTAAGTAAAGTAAAAATTTATTTATATAGCACCTTTCAAGATAAAAATCAAAGTGCTTCACAGAAGCTAAAACCTAAAAATAAAAATCAACCAAAAGCAAGTTTAAAACCATGGCCGGCAGCGGCAAAGCCAAACACAGGCGCCATCATACCGGAAGATGTTTCACCTTTCTTCATTGCATAACAGTCAAATAACAATGTAAAAATCAGAAACAGATACAAAAGAGTTAAGAAATACTACTTTAATTCACTCAGATAAACGAAACATGTCAGTTTAATCAATTACACAGAATAGTACAACATGTATACATGTTTTTTTTACTTGGCTACATGTGTGTCAGTGGATGTTTCAACCAACCAAGCTTATTTAATTATTTAAGTGTGTAGAGCAGGGGTGGCAATTCCAGGCCTCGAGGGCCGGTGTCCTGCAGGTTTTAGATCTCACCTTGGGTCAACACACCTGAATCACATGATTAGTTCATTACCAGGCCTCTGGAGAACTATAAGACATGTTGAGGAGCTAATTTAGCCATTTAAATGGCCCTGGTGAAGAGCAACAATAGAGGAACTGCAAATGTTACAAGCAATTCCACTGAAGAACCATCTGCACACTGCACAAAAATTACTTTTCAGGTTTACAATTTCCTGCTACTTGGAAAATTAAAGAGTAGAGGCCAAAAGGTCAAATATCATGCAATTTGAATTTGAAAATTGCATTTTATGCTGGATACTATTACAGATCATCGAATCCTCACTGAATCAAAATTAAATTAATATTTAAGAAAGAGGGGGCCTCTGAAAATTAGCATCTACTTCACCATTTTTGAAAATAGTCAGAGGTTAAAATGTATTTGAGTTATTTCTGGTTTTAGTAAACAACTTTTGATCAAATAGCTGAACCAGTTTTTGTAGCATTTTATATGTTTTTTTCCCCCCAGCTACAGATGTGAGAGACAGAATGTAAAAGTTAGCAGTGCCATGCTATCATGCTGCTTTTGTGATTTTTGTTTGGGAGTTGACCTGCGCAAATACGCATGATGATAAAACACTGTAATTTGGAAGCTCAAATTTGCATCAGCAAGATATTTCCTCATGTTCAAAACATTCTCCTCATTGAAATCATATCACAAACATCTGTGATGATTTTAAGCAATCTGGCGGGACAACATTTGGCTATGATCACTTGCAAACCTGTAAAAATCATTCTAAATTTGGGAATAAACATGTCTTTAAGCATGAGATTGTGTGGGTGTTTTTATGGGGCAAAAAAGTCCATCAGAGGCACAGTTCTTAATTAGAGTAACGCACATGTTCTAAATATTGGGATATATATAAATACACTGTAGATATTTTCCACATCAAGTAATAGATGAAAAAAAGGAAAAACGCATAATTTTGTTTTGAATAACTTTTTGTAAGAAGAATTTAAACCATTAACTTACATTACTCAACTTACCTGCAAAAGTCTTGAGCCACTTTCTTCTTTGCTTCCAAGGAGCCAGAGTTTCTTGCGTGTTTTTAAAGTGTTCTTGAGAAATAATTCTTCAAACTTTCTGAAGGTTTTTTTGTTTGCTTCTCAGTTAAGCCACTTACCACTGACCTATCAATCAATCAATCAATCAATCAATCAATCAATCAATCAATCAATCAATCAAGCATAAAAAGGCACCTAAACTCAACAGACAAACCAATGTTGAGAAGTAGAGCAGAGCAAATAAAGAATTATGCCTATTTTTTCTTCAACAAAACATATAAAAGTGACCATAGTGGCTTTTTTCATAAGAAGTTTTAAAACTGGTAAATTTGAATTGAAAGTGACATCACTGGACAACACCAGGGTGAGGGACTGTTTAGTTTTGAAGCTCTTCCATCCAGGTTTTACTTCTGTGCTATGAAGTAAAAATAGACTACATCTAGAGAAGAGCATTCCAGGGTGATGACCCACAGTTGCAAATACAAGTAAAACATAACCATCCTACATAATTTACATTTGAGTAATCAATTGCTATTTGTCTTTTTCTTTAGCCTTTTTATACTAGAAGAAAATCCCACATTTCTTTTGATTTCCAGGGTTCTTATATTCCTGCTCTGCAAAAAGAGAACAATGCTACTAAAGCAAAAAGGGAAAAAAATTAGGATAATCAAAACACATCCAAATTGGAAATGTAGTTAATTTTAGAAGTTTAAAAATGTTTACCTTTGTTTTTATTTTTTCAGCCCAATAATAGATTATTGTATTAGAATACCTAAAGAATTAATTAATGTATTAGAATGTATTAGAATACATCAAGTATTCTAATACATTAGAATACTATGTATTATGTATTAGAATACATTAAGATTAGGCTTAAAACTTTCCTTTTCGGTAAAGCATATAGTTAGGGCTGTATCAGGTAACCCTGAATCATCCCTGCTGGGCTGCTGGGGGACTCCCATGATGCATTGAGTTTTTCTTTTTTAGTCACCTTTTTTACTCACTATGTGTTAATAGACCTCTCTGCATTGAATTGTACTTCTTATTAATCTCTGTGTCTCTCTTCCACAGCATGTCTTTATCCCGTCTTCCTTCTCTCACCTGAACTGGTCACGGCAGTTGGCCGCCCCTCCCTGAGCCTGGTTCTGCCGGAGGTTTCTTCTTTTTCAAAGGGAGTTTTTTCTTCCCACTGTCACCAAAGTGCTTGCTCATTGTTGGAATTTTCTCTGTATGTATTATTGTAGGGTCTACCTTACAATATGAGGCGACTGTTGTTGTGATTTGGCGCTGTATAAATAAATTTGAATTTAAAAAAATTACATTAAAGGTGTATAAATGTATAAATTATAACTGTTGGCTAAATTTGACAATCTGTATTTATTAACTGAGCAAGTGTTTTGTTTTAGTCATCTGAAACTGATTGAAGTCATGCTCAAGTACAATGGGTATTCGTTACGGTAGTGACCATATTTGGACACTAGGTGGTGGTGTAGCCTCTTCTTATAAAGATAAATTAAACTCAGCATGCTACAGCATGTGAAATGACAGGATTAACACACTGAATAAGTAATAAGCTAGTTTGTCTTCCGTATTTAACATTATTTTCTCATAATTTCAGAGTGTCTAGTGCACTGGTCAAACGCACAGGACATAAAAAGGAAAAAAAGGGATACAAGTCCTTTTGGACTTTGTTTGCGGTTCACTATTTTGTTAATCAAGCATTAAACAGAATAAACCAGCAGCCCACACTAAAAGCAATTAATGTGACTGATACACAGCGGCAAGAGTTGTAAGAAAGCAAAGAGTTTCTACGATACTATATAAAAGTCCTCAAGCAAACCCTTTTAAAAGGAAAAAAAAATCGCAGAAATAAAGGGTTGGCACAAATGTCACGTGCAAAAAAAACGTCAACAGCTCATTCTGGACAGTGGGTGACGGATTGACCGTGAATATATAGTAACTGTATCCGCACAAAACTGGAAAAATAAGGCCCTTAAAAACTTTTATTATCTTACATTTTTTCTGTGTGTAAACGACTGTTGATTAAATGCCTCTATACTGAAACTGGAGAAATATGTCCCTTTGGTTTCAATTTAACAGGTAAACCTTGTTATCAGTGCATTTCACTTCAACCCATTTCAAAGGGTGAATTAGAGTGGGAACTGTGAGCCGGGCCTGCTCGGATCACTTCTGAAAGAATGGTCAAAAATTCCCATAAACACACACTTAAACCCTGTGGAAAGCCTTCCCAGAAGAACTGAATGTCAGGAGATCCTGAAGCCTCAGAACATGAAGAAAGGAAAATATTTACATTTCATTTTAACATCATTTGTTATTTAATATTTTTTATCGCTTTGTTCTAAAATTCAGAAATTGGAAAAAAAAACAAAACAAGAAAAAGTCAATTAATTTATATATTTTTAATGTTTCCTAGTTAAGACAATACCAAAACTTAAACACACTGTTTTGAATAATCATACATGTTCATTTATTTTAAAGAACATGTGAAGATTTGTGTCAACTCAGAGAGGAAAGCTTTCTGAATGTATATACACGGAGAAGTGCTTTCTAAATGACAATCTTTTATTTTTTACATAAAGTTCAATATTGAGTACACATACAGACAAATGCACACATGAAAAGCATCTGAGCAGTCAAAGAGAGAAGCGTTCTCATGAGAAAGCTGATGTTTACCCTGCGGAAGCTATACAGTCTGCACTGTCTGTGGCTTTCACTTAAACACACACACTGACGGATGAAACGTCTCCCCGGCCATATGTCTGTGTGCTTCCCCTACGCACAGGAAGTGCCCTCGAGGGCGCCGAGAGGTTAATGAAGCCACACTAACACAAGGTCAGAAAATGTAGCACATTGAATAACAAAATAACTGGAATGTAAGATTTTTTGCTTATAACTTTTCATTTCTGAATATAAAGATGAATAAGTAATAATAGTATTAAATTAACTAAAACTCAGCATTTAAATTGTGACAATTTACTTAGAAGACAGAGCTTTGTATTGAGCGCCTCTTTGGGCCATCGAAACCACAAAACCACAACTTTGCTATTCTGGTTTATTCTGTCTGCTGAGACACTGCCATTTTTGGCCAAAGGCATTTATTTTCATTGCTTGAGCTCGGCGACATACAGCAGACAGATGTGGTTGTGTAGTAATTGGTGCACATAATAAAGCACTTAGTAGTTAAAGAGCAAGATATTTCTGTAAGGAACTAGTAGACACCATCTGCTACAATAAGCAGCTTTATTTATACAGCACAGCTCTTCAACAAGTTAGTTCAAAGGTCTTTAGAAACACAGGTGTGACAAAAAAGCCAGAAACAATATTAACTGCTTTAGCGTAGTGTTGGGCCAACTCATTGTACCAGAACAGAGTCAGTGCACCCTAGCAGGTGTCTGAACTCAGCTGGGCAGATGAACATCAATATTCTAAAAGGTTTACAGTGGAGGTGGAGTGCTTTCTCTAACAAGTCACTCCAAAATGTCACATTAT